CTGGCAGGACTGGACTTTGGCGAGAGAATATGATGTTGACATTGAGAAATATCCAATTTTTTCATGCTAATAATAAACAACGGCGGCTCGTCCAATTTTGGCAAAATTTCCAAACATCAATCGCACTATTAATCCCTAATTGTACTCGCCATCGCATGATTACCTATACTAATATATATATATATATATATATATATATATATATATATATATATATATATATATATATATATATATATATATATATATATATATATATATATATATATATATATATATATATATATATATATATATATATATATATATATATATATATATATGTATATATATAACTTTTAAGAAGTTTACAAGATTTAGCTAGCTGATATACATGATGCATCCAGTCTGTAATATGAAAAGAACAACCATGGCCAGAAATCACGGACATGATTTATTCTACTTTTTTCGTAAATTTGCATAGCCTATCACTTTGAAATATGGCTTCTGCAGTAAACAGTAAATTATATTACGCGATGCTGTAAATCCCAAAATCAGAGAATATGGTAGGTCGTTTGCAACTTGCCTCAGTCGCTGGCTATAAATGAAAGTCTGTCGAAGTATTTAGCGCAATGTTGACTTGATTTTAGGTGGCGACTATTCAGCATTTTCCGCATTTGTACAGAGGTTAGTTTGTACGGAATTTGTCTATTTAACTCTATATATATAAGAATACCGCACTATTGCCACTAGAAACAAATGAAAATGCAGAATAGGCAGTAACTTACACCAGGCAAACAACACACGATATATTTCAACAGATCGTGTTCTGCAACCAGCAATCGAGGCAACTTGCACGACCTACCAATATTCCCTGATTTTGCGATTCAATAAAGCATCGCGTAATATAATTTACTGTTTACTACCGAAGTCATATTTCAACGGGTTATGTATTAATGATATGCAAAGTTGGTAAGGAAGTAGAATAATCATGTCCGTGATTTCTGGCCATAACAATTGAAGACGTTGAAGGTGAGATGTTTAACATGCAGTAGTACTAATAATTAGCACTCGTTATTTTAGGGAAGATGTGGAAAAGGCGAACCCCATATGAATGATGGCGTAAGTACATCACTCACATACATGCATGTATCAAATTTAATTCAAAAACTGTGGGCGTTGGCCAAATGTTCGACGACTCAATGGCAATATATAGGCCTATTAGATCTTTATTTTATTTCAACATTCAGGAAGCTGCACAAATTTAGAGCTGGAAACTGGACTCTGTAGCTCATTGGGTTAGACCGCTGCATGCACCGAAACCGCAGGGCCGCAAGTTCGATTCCTGTTAGGGGACATTTTTCACAGAATAAATGTACATAAATTTTCGCTCGATAATTTCCATCTACAAACCATTCAACTATTGTTTGCTAGATTTCTTTTTAACTTTCCCTTTCAAATTAACATGGTTGACATCTTGAAATTCTGACAGCCATTCATCTAAAATTTTGGCTGATAGATCTCGTCAGAGCGTAGTAAAACACGGTCGGTTAAACGCGCTAATATTTGCCTGATCCATGTGTGATGCACGGGAGACTGGCGCGAGCGCGCAAAATGCGCGGAAATTGCGGGATTTTTAAAGATGAAACGAAGCAAAAACAAGAAACAAAAATATTTAAAGGGCAATCAAAAAGTACAATTTGTTAAAGGTAAATCTATCCTTAAATTGGAAAAAAATTAACTTGTTATAAAATAGAGACTCTTGCAATTAATTAGTATTGCAAATTACATCGCTGGAGTTGGAAAAGCATTTTTAAACTGTGAAATTATTTGAATGCTTAGCGATTTTATCATAAAATATATTTACATTATGCAGGCAATGAAAAATTGTAGTCGAGTTTTTTAGCCACACCGAGTGGAAAAAAGGTTAACTTCAACCCTTTATATTATTTCTAATTAGTTATACTCTCGACCTGAAAAGGTGAGAAATTGGGCTTTTGTGGTTTTTTTTTAATTTAAAGTTTTATGACCAGGTCACTTGCGTAATTTACAATGACACAACTTGTGACCTTGTTTTGATCAAGTTAGGAAACAATTGTCAATTTAGAAAACATTGGAAACATTTTTATTAACATATTCAGACATTCAAATGCAAGATAAAAGTTAGGGAAAATATTCAATTAAAAGGAACAAACAAAAAATTCCGTTTTTATTATGTTAAAGGTTGTTTTATCTCTCTTTTCGAACTTACAGAATGCAACTGAAATGTCCAAAAGACTCCAAATCGCATGCATAATGTTCACAACGATGTCGCAGTTTTACAAGCGCGGAAAATTTTTAACTTTTAAATATTTCATGCACAATATGTGAAAACTAGCTTCATTTTGATATTCTTGGATAATTCAAGTACCTAATTTTCTGCCAATCACCAAATGATAATTGGCTTTTTAATTTGCCTTTATTTTTTACATGTGCATGCCGAAATCTACACATGCATGGAATACAAGCAAGCGATAGTTTGTTGTCGCAGTTTTACAAGCGCGGAAAAATTTTAACTTTTAAATATTTCATGCACAATATATGAAAAGTAGCTTCATTTTGATGTTTTTGGATAATTCAAGTACCTAATTTTCCGCAATCACCAAATGATAATGCCATTGGTTTTTTTAATTTTTAAATATTTTTTTGCTCTTATAATTTTTGACATGTGCATGCCGAAATCCACACATGGGATAGCATTCCCTTCGACTTCGTTTTTTTGAAATCTGACACCCTATGAAACAAGCTGGAAAAAAGTATGTTTAAACAAAAAAGTCCATTCTCATTTGGTGATTTTCAGAAAATTAGGTACTTAAAGTGGAAGTCAAGTGCGTAATGTAAACAAACAGTTTGTTTACATTTTGAACTGCTGTATTTTTTAAAATATGATATATACGGTCTGAATATCTAGCACCATTTTGGTTCTAAATGAATATGAAATAGAGTTTATATGTTCAGAAAAATTCGAAACATTCGAAATTTGGGCAATGTTCACATTAGAGGTCCCCACATTGTTAACAGGTGGGAAAATTGTCGTCGCTGACCAAAGTTATCGCGGCCGCTTTCTTTTTGCCCGCAAAAGTTGTGAAAACCGAGGTGAAAAAAAAAAAAATTTCGCTACCCTATTTCTCGTACTGCAGGAGAGGGAAAACAAAAGAAAGCTAGCATACGTAAACGTTAATAAACGTTAATTAAGAATACAATTACTTGTCGCAATCGGGAAATGAACAGTCAAGAATTCTTCGCTGAATCATGGCGAAAATGACGTTTCTTGCAAAAATTAATGTGTGTTTTTTATGGCAAATAACCTCCAGTATGAACTTAATATTGATGGAATATTACTTGAAATTTGTAGTACATGCGTTTGTTGTCCTGGTCGACAAAGTAGAAATATTTGGTTTTTGAGTGATACTGTGCGCCAACGATCATCGTCAAATTTCAGTATGTGAGGTATTTTGCTAAAATTGCTTGTTTTTCACCTTAATTTTCTCATATATACAGGTTGTGCCAATAAAATGTGATTAGGTCAGAAGATGTACTCTTCTCTCTAGTTTTTGTTAATAGAATGTAAATTCGCCTAAAATAATAATAATAATAATAATAATAATAATTTAATAATTTATAAAGCGCTTTTTACATATAATGATGAAAAGCGCTGTATTACAATATAACTAATGTTAAAAGCGTATTAAAATGTTGAAATGTTAACTGAATCTTGGCAACTTTCATGTGCAAGTGTGATTTATACGAAAATGGCAACTCAGAAAATGAGCATCAAAATGAGCATTTTGCCCCGCATTTTGCTATAATAGTTTTAAAATATTATTTTATGTTTTCAAAGTATTGGAAAAAGATATAAACATAGCAATCAGATTTTTCTATGACCCTCATTTCTAAGCGCAAACTTTGTGTTATTTTTAAACCCAATTTTCGCTCGTTGAAAATCCTATAAACACGAATTTTGTCATCGGTTACAGGTTGTGCCAACGAAATATCGCTGTTTTACATTAAATTTCAAAGCATTTTTAAGTCGGTATTAAATTTCTTGACTTTGTATGAAATGAAGAAGTTTTAGTATTTTGGTTTGTATTTCACATTTTATTCAAGCTATCAGACGACATTTTACAAGGAAGTTTTTGGCTCTGTTTTGTTTTGCACTGAAATAATCGATATTAATAGCTTACATTGTAAAATATGTGGTAATATAGGAAATCAAAGTATTACTGCAACATGTTTTGTCAGTGAATCCAATTTTTGTGGTGATTTGTGGGCCTAAACAGCCGCTGCTAAATTGTCTTTCGAAGGCTTCGTTCATGTTGTTTATGTTTTGAAATCAACCAAGTCCGCTGAAAACCCGAGCAGTTTTCTCGCATGCTCAGTCAATTTTCCCACCTGTTCACATTGTTATGAGCAAAACCAATGCGCAGAACGGACTTGACTTCCACTTTAAATTATACAAAAACATCAAAATAAAACTAGTTTTCATATATTGTGCATGAAATATTTAAAAGTTAAAAATTTTCCGCGCTTGTAAAACTGCGACTACAAACTATCGCTTGCTTGTATTCCATGTGTAGATTTCGGCATGCACATGTCAAAAATAAGGGGAAAAATGTGAGTTAATTAAAAATTAAAAAAGCCCATTCTTATTTGGTAATTTTCAGAAAATTAGGTACTTAAATTATACAAAAACATCAAAATAAAACTAGTTTTCATATATTGTGCATGAAATATTTAAAAGTTAAAAATTTTCCGCGCTTGTAAAACTGCGACAACGAACTATCGCTTGCTTGTATTCCATGTGTAGATTTCGGCATGCACATGTCAAAAATAAGGGCAAAAAATGTTTAAAAATTAAAAAAGCCCATTATCATTTGTTGATTTTCAGAAAATTAGGTACTTGAATTATCCAAAAACATCAAAATAAAACTAGTTTTCATATATTGTGCATGAAATATTTAAAAGTTAAAAATTTTCCGCGCTTGTAAAACTGCGACAACAAACTATCGCTTGCTTGTATTTCATGTGTAGATTTGGCATGCACATGTCGAAAACAAGGCCAAAAAAAATGTTTAAAAACTAAAAAAGCCCATTCTCATTTGGTGATTTTCAGAAAACTAGGTACTTAAATTATACAAAAACATCAAAATAAAACTAGTTTTCATATATTGTGCATGAAATATTTAAAAGTTAAAAATTTTCCGCGCTTGTAAAACTGCGACAACAAACTATCGCTTGCTTGTATTTCATGTGTATATTTGGCATGCACATGTCAAAAACAAGGCCAAAAAAATGTTTAAAAATTAAAAAAGCCCATTTTCATTTGGTGATTTTCAGAAAATTACGTACTTAAATTATATAAAAACATCAAAATAAAAATAGGTTTCATATATTGTGCATGAAATATTTAAAAGTTAAAAATTTTCCGCGCTTGTAAAACTGCGACAACAAACTATCGCTTGCTTGTATTTCATGTGTAGATTTGGCATGCACATGTCAAAAACAAGGCCAAAACAATGTTTAAAAATTAAAAAAGCCCATTTTCATTTGGTGATTTTCAGAAAATTACGTACTTAAATTATACAAAAACATCAAAATAAAAATAGGTTTCATATATTGTGCATGAAATATTTAAAAGTTAAAAATTTTCCGCGCTTGTAAAACTGCGTCAACAAACTATCGCTTGAAAAAAAGAACTTGCTGTTTTTATCAATTTATGGCGCTTCATCTGGTGGAACTTGACAAAAATACATGTGATTGAACATACCTGATTTCCAAACACACATTCCAGTTGCAGGTTTTACAACAACAGCCGTTTAAAAAACTTTTTCTTCGTCTTTTTTTTCATCTTATAAAAGAACGAAGTTGTTTTGCAAAAACAATCGATCCTCGTGAGTGAGATCCCAGACTTTAATATATCTTACACTACAACATTCCCCATATAATCAGCCGTGATTAAGAATACGGAAAAAAGATTTTGTCCATAGTAATAGCACAGATCCCAAATCCATTGTGAATTCAGCTTGAATTGTACCTTTTTACGTAGTAATTTTAAAAAGAAGTCAAAACAAACATGCATGCCTGAT